TTACAATGTTTCAGGTATACAGCAAAGTGATTCAGTTATCCATACATAGCTATATATCTGTTCTTTTTTCAGATTCTTTTCCAATATAGGTTAATACAAGGTATTGAATACAGTTCCCTATAGCTATTAAGTACAGTAGGTCCTGGTTGTTTATCTATTTTATATACAGTAGTGTGCATTGATATAGACTTTTTGATATACTATTTTTTGATGAGGGAAGTTGGGGCATTTGAGGAGAAAGTAGAAAAAGTCTCCCCTATACTGATTTTTTTTTCCCAAAGAAGGTCTCAGTTTAAAGGCTTTCTTAGAAAAACTCTATAATTCAAAGCTTTTCAACTCAGGCAATTAAAGTTTACTATTTAGGTACATGGATATATGAAGAAATTATTGATAATGGCATCACATAAAATATTTATACCATAGAATATAGGCTGCAAAATAATTCTGAATACCGAAGTTATTTAATGTAAGCACAATTCACAAACCTGCTGATATTTTCAGTTACTTAAGTTATAGAAAAATCTGGCCTCAGTAAAAAGATACTGGATCACAGAAACTTTAAATATGTATTTTATGGAGTCCTTTTATTGTTTTTTTGGTGCTGATGGGGGCACCTTAGAGATAACACAGTGGTGAGTTGTTTTGTAAGAAGCAGCTTGCTTCTTTCAATTAGCTGTCTCGTAGGGTCTCTTATGGATATCTTTTATGGTCTAACTGGCTATCTCAAGTGCACCACAGAAAAAGGAAACAAGGCAATTGGATTTTCACAGCTTCATCAGACCCCCTTCTCTGACTTTGACTACTTCTGGTAGGAAAAGGAACTGAGCCAAGGAACAAGGCTACAGGCCCCCAGGAGGGTAGGGCCACTTGGTAGTAAATATTCACTTAGCCCTCTGATAACCACCATAAGCAAGAGACAGAGTTTATGTGGCATTATAAAGGCAAGAGCTCTGGTACACTGCAGGAATTTAGGCTTCATCCATCCATCTACTGTTTGGCACTTTTGTTATTTCCTCCCAAGGGATGCTTGCCTTTCTCTGTAGGCTACATGGGAAGTTAGAGAAGCTGGAAAAGTAATTTTCTTTTCCTCTCCTTCTTAACCATTTCCCCTAATCCTGACACCCAAGGTCCCTGCTTTGTCCTTGGCTGGGGGGGATGGGGTGGTGCTGGTTAACCTCTAAGGCAGCTCTCCTCGACTCCAGTAAACTAAGGGAAAATTCATTTTAACAAGAAGCTAATTAAAGATTGAGAAAGGCTTTTTAAAATGAACTATAGTTTACGTTGATTAAAAAAATTCAGGTTGAGTGTATGGACTGTATCAAATATTTTCATCTTCATGTCAGTCTGGACTCCCTCTAATAGGGTGAGTTTATCTGTTAAAAGTGACAACACAGAAATGAGATAATATTTCAGTTTGGCTAGTAGTACTTCTTTCTTGACCCTATGTCAAATACAATTCTTACTGATTAAGTTTGCTTTTCTTCCGTGGTGTTATCAAGGTAAGAATACTTTTATTAAAAGATTTTGAAATAAAACAGAAGTTAATTTTGAAAATCTCATTTTAGTTTTTATATTTCTCTTGTGAAAGGCTTATCAAGTGTGTCTAAGCCTCTTTTAGGTAGGAGACCACTTGAATTCTGACTCATGCTTTCTTCAAACTCTCTTCTACACTGGACTCCAGTGGGTGTTATTTTCCCTACTATGACACAGCTTCTCCTTACGTGTAATCACTCTGACTTGGAGAAGAATAAAATGACCAAGCAGAACAGCTTTGATTACCAACTAGGTTATTTCCATACAGGTTATTCCTGCGCCTCTTAAGGTTATACAGTCAGGTTTTAGAGCAGCAATTCACTACAATGTTATGAGAGAAGATACTGAAGCAGCAAAGTGTAATCTATTATCTTCTAAAAAATAAGCAATAAGTTTTAAGCTTTTGTTATTAAAAAGTTATAATGAATATTGTTTTAAAATAGAGTTTTAAGAAATCACATTTGTTTAATTTTTTAGTATGAAAACACATCCTATATTTTCTTAATTAAAACACAAGCAAGTTTCTAGTTGTAAAGGAGGCAGTTTGGTTTACTTTAAAAAACTAAAACAAATGAGGTAGTGCTACTGTCCACCTGGATGATGTTAGAGATGGTGAGAGTGCAGGAAAAGAAGCACTCTTGCACACTAGTAATCATGCCACCTTTCTGTGAGCCATTTGAGTCAAAACCAGTGGACTCCACATACTCTTTGACCCAATCCCATGAGTTTAAGCAATATTATTTCATTTTATAGGTGCAGAAACTGAAATTCAGAAACTAAGTAACTTCCCAAGGTCATATGACAAGTTAGTAGTGGAGCTGTGATTCAAATTCAGTTACCTAATTCAAAGCTCATACTTAGCTCCACCTCACAAACGTCAATAACACGAGGTTTGTTTCCACGAAGTCTTCCTATAGTAGAATAATATGCAACAAATTAACATGTTGTACGGAATATATAATGACATGAACAAATGTTTGCAAAATATAAATAGCAAAGTAACTTTAAGAACAGTTTGATCTTAATTTTATTAAAATACATAAATACATTAAAAAACAGATATGTGTGATAAGATACACAGATGCACATCTAAAGACTTACGTGATCACAAGGAATTTACTTACCTCATTTTGTTTATCTGTCTTTCCTAAATTTTCTACCTTTGTATTAAAAATTGTCTTTTTAAAGATGTTCAATCTCAGTTATCAAACTGTGAATCTGCAATTTAAAGATACACCTGCTTTTATTTAAAAAGCTACATGAAAATGAAAGATACATTAATTTTAAAATAGGTTAACACAATTTTCTAGTAGTATCTTGATTTCTTCTTACTTTAAGTCTAAACATTCTAATTTCTCAAGGTCGTTTATGCTGGAATCATTCAGCTAAAGGAAAGAACTGTAGAGAAATTGGGCAGGGGGACCACAAAAACCCCTGGCGTTTCTATTAACCGGTTTTTATCTATAGTGTGAACAGCATTACCCCATGCTCTAATTCTTACCCTGCCTGAATTTTATACTTTAATGTGAAGCCAGAATATGGTTCAAATTAGGGACTTTCCAGTTAGTGAAAAAGTATCAAGAACTCTTGTTTATTTATTGATAAAGATAAGGATGGAAAAAACAAAGACGTGCTAACTTTCCCATGTTGTTCTTCGTTAGTAAAACTACTCAGCATGTTTGTTCAGTCTGCAGCTTCTTTCCATATGACTTACAAGGTGTTATTTTCACAGGAATGGAACTCACTGAGCAATATAACTGACTGAGGAAGAGCCGGTTCATGCAGATAGTAGCCTCCAGGTCTATCCTAGCAGAGAGAATATTCTTGTTGGATTTGTTGAAAATCTCTGAAAGGAAGGAAGAGGAATTAGTAAGAATTTCCCTCCGATAACACATGTTCTAGTTTAAAGAAATTCTGCTCAATTATGTTCCCCGAATATCATATACACGTAATTTAGAACAGAAGTTGGACACCTTGTATTTTAAAAGAAAATTTCAATTTTTTTTCTGTCAAACTTCATACTGTTATAATGCAAAGACATTTGTTTAATGGATAGGCAAATTTCTTCCTACCTTCTTTCTGGGTAAACATTGGTTCATTTCTAGCTCAATGTTTATGGAGCTGTCTTAAATATCATATAGCCTTTCTGTAAGTTAAAGTACTAACTGTATATAGGACTTTATTTGAATTTTTACTGGATTTTTAAGTATTATACGTACATCACATATAATTTTGAGAAAGTATCAGAAAGTCTGAGGAAGACTGAAAGACCCGCAGTCCCAATACTAAGGAAAAAACTCTATCATTAATAGTATATACTCTTCTTGAACTTATTGCACATTAGCATATTAAGGGTTCTGAGCAGTCAGGAAGAAAGAAAACAATTTACCTGCGTTTCAAATGTTTCTCAAATTTCTTTGACCATGAATCTTTTGATGATATGATACCTATTAATAACCCGAGGAACAGATCTGAGGAACACATTTTATGAATGCCACCTTAATGAATGTATTACTCCCCAGGATCCTCAGAGTTAATCAAACTCAACGTTCACCCCTCGACTAAACTCACACAGAACTAAAGCTGGATAATTCAGACATAAATATTTATTTTAATAAAGCAACAAGCATGGGTACTTTTATCGTACTTATTTGTATCTCAATAAAGCCTTTTTAAAAAGAAACTAATATGCTTGTGTTTCAGGAATACTGAGCAGTAGAATAACTTGATGAACATGATGAGATAGGAGCAAAACAAGGATGGCTTTAAAGAATATTTTATGCTGGCCAAGCTGACCTATACTTGCCCAAAAGAGAGGATACACCTTTAGTTACCAAATGTCTCCCAGATTCATGTGACAAAATTCTACCTCTTCTACCTTTTCCTTTCGGATGTTGTGGCAATGCTTATAAATTAATCTACTGAAGTCTTACAGTACAAAAGAGTGAATGCATACTCCAGGGTGGAAATGAACAGCAGCAGACATAGTCCAAAGAGCCCACCCTAAGTGCAGCATTTCTTTTAAACTTCATGTTTTTCCTAGCATATACATATGAGGAAGTATTTTAAAAACACAAAATTAAAAGGTTTTCATTCCAAATCTTTAGAAATAACTGATACACAAAAAATGTGTTGTATATTTATCTGTGACTTTATATGCCTTGAAACACATTCAATATACCTAGGTGAGAAGTAAAGCTCAAAACTAAACATCTCTCTTCTATTCCTACGATCTTTTTCTAGAAGCAAAAACCTGGCAAGTTCGATATAAGTGCTAAATCAGAATCACACTCGATGCATGCCTCCTAGAGTTGACACATGAAAAAATGATTTCATTTGCTGCCATAGATGGATTATACCAACTAAATGAACAACAATGGCCATTTTTAGTTTGTCTATCTTCTGGTTCTTTGAGCCATTTAAAACACAAGACACAAAACAAATACTGATATAAAAGGAGATAATACTTTTCTATATGTGAACTATTTACTGAACTATCATACTATGTAAATATCACTCTTCAAAGAGGTCACAAAAAATATAGCATTCAAAAATTTCAGGTAAAACTCTTCAAGGGTAAGCTAATTTTTTTTTTTTGTCAGCTTGTACAAAGTTTAATAGCAGGAAGATGTTTCTGTAGAGACTTGCAGTTGGTTCACACTCAGTTTCTGCTCATGCTATGTAGAGCATCCACAATGGTTTTATTGTACTCTGCAATCTGCTTGGTCACATTCTTCATAATTAGCTGGTAATCACTCTCTTGACTCTTGGTTGCTATGACTAATTAAAGGGGTTAAGGGACAACACTGTCAATACAAATATTAATCTAATTTTGTGACTCAGAAAGGAGCCAGACTGTACTAGTATTTTTCTTATTGAAAACTGAAGATGGCACAGAAAAAGCACAATTAGAATGTTTTTAAAAATATTGTTAAAATTAAGCATCAACTGAAACTTAAAAGGCCACACAAAATTTGTTTCAAAGACGTTTGTCTACAGCATAAATTTTTTTTTATAATTAATGTTATTCATCTCAATCTAAATCTGGTCAGAGAACAATTCAATGTTCAGAAGAACTATGTCTCAAAGTCACATATTTTATGGCACACAAAACCAGAGTTCTGGACTTTACTGTGAATAGGAGTCTTCTGGTTTTAAAATAAGTTGCACAACTACCGGGAATAGAGCCCTTGACACATCTCATCTGAAGGTACGCTGGGGTCCATGCTGCCCTGAGCTGATGTTCCGCAGTGTCCTAGAGGAGAAACTACATGAGTCAGTATCTAGCTCTCCAAGCAGAGATATTCTTGAATGGGTCAAAGAAGGGACTAGGAAATAACTTTTGGGGAAATGTTTCTTACAACTCCATGTGTGTTCTCAGCAGCTGCTTCCTCCTATGATCACACAGAAAGATAAGCAAGAAAATGGAACATAAGTACTATCTTGACAGAAATAAGATGGGGACATAGTACTACTATCAATTGGTAGATGAAGCTGAATTGGCTGAAATACAGATGTGTTTGAAAGTCAAATTTCTCATGACACTTCTTGGTTTACTCTCTCCTTTTACTGCCCAGATATCCAAGGTACAGCCTTATAAATAACAACAAATAACTATACGTACACTCATACGTACATACATATACATATATATGGTTACATATAATTTACCCAGCAACTCTATGAGAAAAAAATATTAACTCTGTTTGAGATAATAAAATTGAGGTTTAAAAAATTAAGTAAATTGTCCAAAGTCTATAACCTATAAGTAGTAGAGTCAACATTTAAAATTAGACCTCCTGACTGAAAAACCTGTGCACTTAGTCACTATGCCACACTACAGCTTCGTACAGTCTGCTTTCTATTAGTTACTCTGTTACGCGCACACACACACACACACACACACACCCTATTGTAGAATGGAAACTAAGTCTTATTTATTTCCCACATAGTTTACCCAGTATTTTGTACATTTTAGGTATCTGATATTGAATTGAATTTTATTTGTCTTTAAAGAAATTCCAAGAAAAAAAAATCAGTCGAGTTCATGTGCAGTTTTTTAAAGGATACATTCTTTCATCACAAAATTGTTTTGCTCATGGTGTTGCCACTTCCTCTCCAGATTTGTAAGCTAACAACAGAAAAGAAAAATGTTAACCAGTGCCTATATTCAAAAATTATATACACCTTTAAGAGGATAAGGGAAAAATCCCTCAATTTAAAGTCTTTTCAACTCCTTGCATTTTATTGAGACAAAGCCATGGTAGACAAAAAAGAAATTTAGAAAAGATTAAACAACAATAAATACAATAATAAATACAATGTTAAATTCGACAACAGGTTTACTTCATTTACTTTGATTGGAAAATATTTTAAACGTTTATCATACCAATGAAGATGCCAACTGAAAGATAACTTATGATTTTCCCTTCTTAAAAGCGCTTAAAAAGAAGAATGCAACATGATGGGAATCTCTCCTTGAAATCTGAAGGTCTAATGCTACAAATGTACTGTATATTCTAACACTATAAAAGGTTCAGCTATATAGGAGAAACTTCCTTATTTCCAGGGCTAAATTTCCTGTCTCATTCCACAAGCTGTGATAAGAGCAGAGCTGCAGTGTGAAGATTATAAGAGGGCTGGTAAAAAGCTGGCACTGTTACAATAATTTCTGCATCAACAGGAAGCTAATGTGGATATTATATTGATGGTTGCTTCCTCCAAAGACAATTTTACTGTTATAGAATTAAATTGTTTTTCTGATTTAATTAACCTTGTAACTCTGGGTTATGGTCTTTCTTTTTTAAGATGCACATAGTTTTTTTTCCTAAGCAAAAGACAGTCTGGAAAATGAAGCATTAAAATAATGTTCTCCCTGGACATTTCCAAGAAGTAATAACCATGTAAAAAATCTGATAATTGAAGCAGCATTAATAATATTTCTGTCTACTCTCACATTAAAATATTTTCAGGGTGTTAAGTTCAGTCTTAATGTAGCATCCATCCCATTGTTTCCTCTAAAGAGATAAATCTAGATATTAGGATGAATCCTAACTAATTAATTATGTGAACTGCATGTGCTGTGAGTTAATGCTACTAAATCAGATCTAGCTTCCCCAGATAGAACCTTGAAGTTAAGATGGACTTAAGGAAGCAGTCAGCACTTTTTGACAATAAATCTCTAATAACCTTTCGCAAAGTCAAGTACCAAACTTTTCCTCTTTGTTTTATACAAAGAAGTGGCCTTCTTATAATGCAGCAGATCTCTTAAGTGCTACATGAATAATGCTATAAAAGCAACACTATGTCAGATGGTCAAATTCCTTCTATATTATGTATCTATTTTAGTGACTTGCCTTTAAACCTCCAAGGATGTCATGAAGCACAAATTGGTTTTTTTTTTCTACAACTTATATTAAAAGTCTGTTATGAGTTCTTTATATATTTTGGATATTAACCCCTAATGAGATATATGATTTGCAAATATTTTCTCCCCACTTGCAAGTTGCCTGTACATTTTGATTGTTTCATTTGCTGTGTAGAAACCTTTTAATTTGATGTGGACTCACTTAATTATTTTTGCCTCTGTTGCTTGTGCTTTTGGTGTTATAATAAAAAAATTGTTGCCAAGACTGATGTCAAGAAGCTTTTCCCCTATGTTTTCTTCAAGGAGTTTTACAATTTGTTCTAATATAAATATGTTTAAATGATTTCAAATAAATAACCACTTGAAAAGGTCTATTATGAAAAATTATTTATAAATGTCAAAAGCCAGTCTTTGAGAAAATAACTGCAAAAGATAGAGAGACCAGGATTTGATTTGATCATTTGGGGTTCATAAAAGGCAACAAATAATACAGAGAAGCATTGTAAATTATGGCTTATGCTATAATTACTGTATATTTGGTTAAGAATATGATTAGCATTTATTGTGGGTATAAACAAGGTTGCTATTGACTGGCTCTAAGAAATTGTGTTAGTCAAATGTTTTTCTCTTTAAATCATTTACTCAGTGGAAGAGGAGGACCAATATTCCATAAGAAATATCAACATTTTTTCCTACAAACCATAAGACAATGGTCTCATGAACTTTTTCTTAGGTGTCTTCTCCAGCATCCATCCCCACTCTAAACAGACTAGGATAATATTGCTACTTGCAGGTCTATACCTAGGCTTGTATATTATGAAGTAGACAGAGTAACTGAGTAATAAATTTGAATTATGTAAATTAGTGACTTCTAAGCTTAGTAGTTGTGGCAAACTCTGATGCAAGTCCATCTCTTTCAAGAAGAGTATCAGGTATATCTTTTTGTCAAATGGTACATCCACACAATGAAATAGCTGATATCATAAAAATATCACCAAAAAGAGGTTGAAAACATTTAAGTAAGAAAATAAATGCTTAAAGATTGCATGCATACAATGATTTCATCTGTAAAAGCAGTATCATTAATAAGGGTGTATAACTGCAAAGGAAAAAAAGTTAAAAGGATATTATACCAAAATGTTAATGATGGTTGTCTATTATGATCATATTACTATATAAAGAAAAGGAAGAAAAAATTCTATTGCATTTAGCATTAATAAATCATAGTTGCAAATTGCTAACATAGACTAATCAGATGTGAAAATAACCACGTTTTACCAGATCATAAGTACTGATTTTGTATATGACATACATGCTTCATTTAATCCTCCAACAAATACTTATTGAACACCTATTATGTGCCAATGACTAGCATAGTGCTGGGGAGAAAGCGAGTGAGAGAGGCATCGTCTCTGCCCTCAGAAAGAGGTCTCAATCTAGAAGACCTGATACCTGGTTGAGGTAATTATCAGCAGGATGAGTGATACAAAAAGGGGGCTTGTCTGTGTATCCTGTGTAATAATCAGAGATATAAATAAAGAAGTTCAAGAATAGGATTGCTCTTTATAGAATTGTTTGAACAGTTTTAAAATGAGAAATAACCTAAATGTCCAACAATTTGGAATTGGTTCAGTAAATTATGCCATAGTCATATAGTCAAATGTTACACACAACATTAAAAAAATCTACTGACAAGGGGAAGTACTTACGACATATAGTTAATGATGAAAGCAAGTCTCCAAATAATAGGTACAATATGATACAATTTCTGTTATACAAAAATAAATGTGTACTTACATATATGTATAAAGTGAGTGTACATATAACATATACATGTAGACTAGAAATATCTATCTACAAATAGACAGAATTATTCCTTCTGGGTGGTGGGATATTAGTCATTATGGCTCATTTTCATTATTTGTAGCATTCATGTGTTAACAAAGTTTCTGCATTAAAAACACTTTACTTTTGAAATTTTTAAAAGCTATTAGTTACCATAATGGCTGTGCCCAGAACAATGCCTAGCATAGAGTTGGCCTTCATATAGGTTTATAGAAGGCAGGAAAGCAGGAAATTTCTTTCTGACTGGAGATTATAAAGAATCTAGCTATCTTCAAAGCCAGAAAATCTGGAAGGTAAATAAAGCAGGTGAGGTGAAAAAAAAAAATTGATTGCTTTGGGGTAAAAATACACAGTAAGAGAACAGGACAGATAGCCTAAAAATACAAATGAATTTCAGTCTTTTTTAAATTTTTACCTGAGAATGTGTCTCATTTTCTTGCAACTGTGTTTTCAATGTCTCACATTGTATGTTTAGTTTCTCCATTATTTTTTTAAAGGTATTTCTACGGGTTGATAATACTGTTCTCTCCTGATGCAATTTCTAGATAGATCCAAACAGAAGTAAATAACAGGCTTTAGCAAATATCTAGTAAATCAATATAAATCACATTTGACTTAAATAATTTAAATGATATTCTGATAAAATTCTACTATGGCTATAATTACTCTAAAACTTGTTTGTAAAAATGTCCTATTAACTATAATAAGCTAAATTAGTATTAATTATAACTCACTAGGGCTGCCATATGTGTTCAGACTCCACCAAATTTACATTAATGTAAACGGCAATAAAAAGCCACTGACAAGTCTTAAGTAGTGAAATATCATAATCAAATTTCATTTAACCAAGTATATATTTGTTTAAGTACCCTATCCCTTGCTTTTCAATTTTTATCTTTTGTTTGAAACTGAGATCACTCTAAATTCCTACAATATATGTAAGTGTCTTTATTTTTTCTTAGCTTATATATCAAATAATCAACTGAAAATAATAAATTTTTATAAACTTACACATATTATGAAATTTAATCAAGAAAAAACTATTTGAATCAAAATTTTGTAAGACTCTGTTGTCATATACCTTTTTCTTTTCTTCAGCTGATGATTTTAAAGTTGACAAATCATTATATGTCTCCAGATCAGTTGTCATTTGCTTAATTTTGCTTTTTAGAGAATGTTGTTCCTCAGTCATTTTACTTTCCAGAAGCTCCATTTTCTGTAGATCCAACTGTAGACGCTGACTATCTGAAATGCAGGAAAAGTCAAGGGCATAATTAGTTAAAACTTTATTCCTTTCACAAAAGGAAATGCAATGATTAAAAATCATGTTCTACAAGAGTATATACACAAGAAACATATATTCACTGTAACCAGTGAGACAATACAAAGATGACTTAAAATAAATTATTCATCACCCAGGTAACCAACATAACCTGATGTGTTTTAGTCATATTTGTTTCCATGTTCACATAAACATATAAGAACATCCATAGTTCTTTTTTCTTACTTAATAACATAACATATATTATGAGCAAAGACCTATTATTTTTTAAACACCTTTATTTTTTTAAGCACCATATTTCAAATGTACAATCTGATGAATTTTGATAGATGTGTATACCAATGAAACTACTACCACAATCAATATAGCTCACATTTCCATCACTCTCCAAGAGGTGCAATTTTTGAATTTCCAATTTATCCCTTCCCATCCCCTTTACCCACTGGTAACCATAAGTTTGTTCTCTACGTCTGTAAGTTTGTCTCTGTTTTATAGATAAGTTCATTTGTGTCCGTTTTTAAAAAGATTTCACATATAAGTGATATTGTATGCCATTTTTCTTTCTCTTTTTGGCTTACTTCACTTAGAATGACCATCTCTAGGTCCATCCATGTTGCTGCAAATGGTATTATTTTATTCTTTTTAATGGCTGAGTAGTATTCCATTTTACATCTTTATCCAGTCATCTGTTGATGGACATTTGGGTTGTTTCATGTCTCAGCTATTGTAAATAGTGCTGCTGTGAACACTGGGGTGCATGTGTTTTTTTGAATTATACTTTTCCTTGTGCCCAGGAGTGGGACTGCTGGATCATATGTAAGTCTATTTTTAATTTTTTAAGGAACTTTCATACTGTTCTCCATAGTGGCTACATCAATTTACATTCCCACCAACAGTGTAGGAGAGTTCCTTTTTCTCCTCACCCTCTCCAGCATTTATCATTTAAAGACTTTTTAATGATGGCCATTCTGGCTGGTGTGAGGTAATATCTCACTGTAGTTTTGATTTGCATTTCTATTAACAATTAGTGATGTTGAGCATCTTTCCATCTGCTTGTTGGCCATCTATATGTCTTCTTTGGAGAGATGTCTATCTAGGTCTTCTGCCCATTTTTTTATTAGGTTGCTTGGTTTTCTGATATTAAGGTATATGAGCTGTTTGTATATTTTGGAAATTAGTCCCTTGTCAGTTGCACCATTTGTAAATATTTTCTCCCATTCTGTAGGTTGTCTTTTTGTTTTGTTGATGGATCCTTTAAAACTGTGCAAAATCTTTAAAGACTTATTATTTTTAATAGGGGTATGACATATACACACAGCTATATGGGGAAAAAGGAAGTTATGAAACATTATATATGTGTGAGTAAAACTTCATAATTATATATACAGTTAGTTCTCATTATTTGTGGGAATTATAGTCTGTAAAGTTATTGTAAACACTGAGTCAGCAAACACTGAACTTCTACTTCTAGAGGAAATACAAGATTAGGTTCCTGTGAGCCTCTGGTCACAATATTTTCATGTATATAACCTTTTATGTGTGTTTTTCATTAAATATATCTTATTTAATATATATTATTAATTCCTAAACATTAGACTTAAGGCCAACTTATGCCTGAACAAAACTTACCTAACAGATGTACTTTCTCCATAAGGCACATCACAGCCTTGAACTTAGGAACACTAGCCAATGTTTCAGCCCTATACTTGGGGGTCATTTTAAATAGCAACAAAAAGCACAAAAATGGAGGAAAAAATGGCATTAAATAATATACCACAAAAAAGATACATGTTTATAGCATGAGAACAAAGCAAGAAGGCACAGTGTTGCCTTATTCAGCCATTGCTGGGAACTCAGCATTTAAATTTTTCAAATTTTAATTCAAAATTTTCACCTGCATGTGTCCATAAATGATCATGAAAGTTTTGCAAATACGGATTTGGGGTTACAAATTAATTTTAGTGAGAAAGCAAATTTACAAATACAGAATCCATGAATAATGAGGATGGACTATACATGTGTGCATGTGCACACATGTGTGTGTATGTGTGTCTCATTCTTGTTTTCCAAAGTATTGAGCACCTACTATGTGCCAGGTACTGAGGATATAATAGAAATCAACAGAGACATTGTTTTCACTTAAGGAGTTTTATTCTAGAGGTTAAACTAGGAAATTAAAAAAGCATTACATTAAACTGGATAACTACTATGAAAAGAGTAATGCAAGGTATCATAGAGCATGTGGTACTGGTCAAAAGAGTTCTCTAAAGATATGCCTTTTAACTGACGCTTTAAGGATTAGAAATCAACCAACCAAAGGGAAAAGTGAGTGTTCCAGAGAAGATAATTAACATGTGCAAAGTTTAGAGGTAAGAAAGCATGGTCCCTTTGAGCAAATAACAGAAGTTCAGTATGACTAGAATCCAAAGCTCAGAGTGGGTGGTAAAGTATAGACTTTGGTTGATAATAATGTGTCCATGTTGGTTCATCGATTGTACCAAATATGCCATACTGATGAGGGATGTTGAGGGTAGGGGAGTATATATTTATGGGTTGTGAACTCTATTTCCTGTTCAGTTCTATTGTGAACCTGAAATTGTTCTAAAAGAATAAAATCTAAATCTAAAACAAAAACAAAAAACTACATATACTGCTTTTCCTAGAGAAGGGGCGAAAATGGTTGGTTGGTATAGGGTAAAGTTTATCTTCCTTTAACAGCAGGTCCCCATGAAATGCTAAAAACTTCTCCAAGAGAAGAGACAGGAAGAGGATGCAGACTAGTTCCTTCTGATATGCTATGAAGTTGCAAAGTTTACCAAGCGGTGTGTACATAGTAGCAAAATCTCAGAAGGAACCACTTTGACCTGGGGAAATGTTCCTGAAATATTTTGCCATCAGCGCATTTGTTTATTCCCTGGAGTTTCCTTTCCAAAAATATAAATAAAAACTATTGCTGACAGGTTCCTTGCCTCTTTACTCACGCAGTTTATCAGTGTTTTTAATCATTTTTTTCATTATTGTCCTAAGGAGCCTTTTGTAGATGATTTTTTTCCCAATAACCTCCCTCCCACTGAATTATTTTATATAGCAGATGTATATCTGCTTATATACAGTGACTCTTTGGAGGGCCGCAAACTATTACAGTTAATGTCTGAGATTTTTTTTATCCTTCACCCAAGAAGCAATTTTGCACTCTTGGGAGTCATACTGCCTCACTAAGAAACATAGAGTATACTAAGAAAATTAAGTGAGCTCCAATTATAACTTCAAGAACCAAAAGGGAGGCAATTCACAAAAGGGGAATGTAAAATTCATTACCTCTGAAAGATAAGTAAGAATATTATAAACCTCTTATGGTGATTTCCAGATACAAGAAGTTTCTTAAGGAGGATGATGTTAAGGAAAGAGAGGAAAAATAATTTATTACGCTTGGTTTAAATCAACACTTAAAAATAACTGAGTAAATGAAATTAATTGTAGGTGTCAAAGAATTCAAATCTTAATAAGGGAAATTTTCAGTAAAATCCTTATCATAATAATAAACTGGATTTTTATCTCCATTGCAACCAGTTCTCATTCTTTTCCAATTCTACATCTCTGGAGAAAATATAAACGACCAGTTTTTAAAAAGAAATGTAAACATGAAGTATAGAACTATGAAACGAAAATAAAGTCCTGATTATTGAATTTATTTTCTGGTATTGATATTTACCCTTTAAAAAATGTATGTTTCTCGATATCCATTATGCAAAGATAGTTTAAAGGAGACAAAAAAAAAACTGTTGAATTAATATTGACCTTAGATAAATAAAAAACTTAAAAATACGGTCTAAAACACAGAACAGAAGTTTTCTAGATGGAATAATTAAACATAAAATTCTTCAGCTTACAGAAAAAAGAAAATAAAGATATAAAAAAATCGTGGTTGTATATATACAAAATAATTGAAAGTGGATCTAGAAGAGATATTGCACACTTACGTTAACTGCAGCATGATTAACAAAAGCCTAGAGGTAAAAACAACCCAAATGTTCAGTAAGAAATGAATGAATAAAGAAAATGGGGTATGTACACATTATGGGACATTATCCAACCTTAAAAAAAATAGAAAATCCTGTCACATGTTACAACACAGATTAACTTTGAGGACATTATGATAAGTGAACTAATAAAGTCACTCAAAGACAAATATTGCATGATCCCACTTATATGAGGTATTTAAAGTAGTCAGATTTACAGAAACAGAGTGTGGTTAGCAGTGGCTGAGGAGGAGGAGGAAATGGGAAGTTGTTCAGTGGGTATGAATTTCAATTTTGCAAGATGAAAATGTTCTAGAGATCTGCTGCATAACAACGTGCAGATAACACTATTATACTGTACACTTACAGATAGGATGGTAAATTTTATGTTTTTTTTATCACAACTTAAAAAATACTCATAGTCAAACCAATAGTAGGTATAGATCAAATTTAAAATGTACTTCCTCTAGTTGCTTGGCATATAATTTAGATATACTAATAAAACTACGGCTAACAAACTCTAAACAAATCTGGGCAGATTAAACATATTTAAATGTATAGAATGACATTTTCCCACCTATATCATCAATCTAAATTCAACTGCATATTAACAGCATTCAGAATGCATTTATAAAACTCCTAGGCAGTTGTGTTTTAGACTGCAGAAGTCTTTGGATTGTTCGGAAATTAACATAGTGCTTCTATTGATTATTATATAACTCTCACAAAAGGGTCTGAGACAGCATCCTGATATCAAGTAAATGAATATATTTCTGCAGCAAAAAGTATGAACAGTTACATTAGGTAGGATAATTAAAGACTATAAATAGCCTAATGTCAGTTCAGGTCAGGCCCAGTTTTGCTGCCAAGAGCTTTTCAGATTTGAGGATTCCAGATAAAGAAATACTGTGGAAAATATTCCATTTTAGGAATCTTTCAACTTTTTTTTTTAACATTTTTTATTGATTTATAATCATTTTACAATGTTGTGTCGAATTCCAGTGTTCAGCACAATTTTTCAGTCATTCATGGACATATACACACTCTTTCAACGTTTTTAAGTTAGCAAATATTGCCTTCCTTCCCCATGACCTCATAAACTGCCAGAGTAATTTCAAGTAGATAAATTAAAAACATAGCTAATTCAAAAGTCACCACACACCATCATAGTTAGAATCTACCACTTGAAAAACCAAAGATACCATACAAATTTTCACTTGACTTTATACTAGGCTCTTTAAACTCAATTATGTGTATTTGTTCTTAATCCCTACCTGCAGTATCCAAATGGCAGCCACTAGCCACATATGGCTTTTAAGCACTTGAATGTGTCTAGTCCAAACTGATGGGCTGTAACTGTAAAATCTCATTGATCATTTTTTATACTGACTACATGTTGAAATGATAATATTTTGAATACACTGGCTTAAATAAAATAATTATCAAAATTCAGTTGCCTCTTTTCACTTTTTTAATGTGGCTACTAAGAAATTTAAATTATGTATGTGGCTGGCATTACACTTCTCACTTCTTTTGGACAGTACTGCTCTAGTCTCACGTTAGTCATAATGGCTGAAACTAATTATAATAAATCATTACCACCTCTACACCTCTCCTAACTATCCAAAGACCAAGGAGGACATGAGCCCTATGCACTTCCATTCTGCCTTATGCTTCTATCATAGTACTGTTTCATTATATTTCAATTGTTTATCTGTCACTCCACCAGACTGAAAGTTTCCTGAGGAAACAGACTGGATTTTTTAAAATCTCTGTATACCCAAGTTATAGCAAAGGCATAGAGCAATATTCAATACATGTTAAATGAATGAGAATATCCCAATGAATTAGTATTAAGTTGATATGAAAAAAATTCTAAGCCTATGAATGATTGCAGCAATAGGCAATTGTAAATTATATTCTGTCTTTCAAAAAAAATCGAAGAGAATAACATCAGACTTAAAAATTTTCAATTTTTATTACAGAAAGAAAAGGACATTAAAATCTAGGTGTCTTCTCACCTGAAGTCAGATTCCTAGCTGTACTTTGTGATTTCTGCATTTCAGTAGATTTAAAATTGAGATCATCCTGCATCATCTTCAGCTCTTGATTGGTGATAGAGGATATCTGTTTCATACGATTTATATTCTGTATTTGCAGAGAAATAATTGCAGAGAAAAAAATTGTACTCATTTAACTTTCCAATAAAACTCTTGAGAATGCTGCTAAAGGACTGGATGTTTAGAATGGGTATGCTTTTTTTGAAATAGATCACTTATCATATACGTTTTATAGAAGAATACTGTGAGATTAAAAATCAGGTTTTCTCAATAAGGAGAGGCTAAATTAAAATTAAGAATTGTTTCTTTTACCTTTGTTTTACTTGACTGTAGAAAAAAAATGCAACTGGACTAGTCTAGGAACTGACTGGATTCTTAAAACACTTAGAATATTGAAGAGACCGTGTATTTTTCTTCCTATGGTACCACACATTAGTAGATGCCCAATAAACATTTTTTGCTGAATCAAGATATTCATTAGGTACTCTGTTCTCTTACATAATAGTGAACCATTGCAATTTTTGAGTTGTATTTAGAAAGATAATCATAGTGAAAGTAAAGAAGACACCAAGATAGGCACATGGTACTTACTCTACTACTGTGCTCCAAAAGTGCAACAATGTTGGCTTCTATCTGTGCCTTCCTTTCCACTTCCTGATTCTTAGTTTCCTCAAAAGTCTCAATAAAATCTGCCAATTGAAAAATATGATGAGAGGCTACTGTTGATGTAGTTAATCACTATATAAACTGATTTGTTGGTCTGAAGAGCACTTTTTAGAAATTCAAAGCAAATTTTAAACTTTCACTGTTTAATTTTTTTATTAGCCCAAGGGTAATTAAATTACTCAATAAGAGCATTTTTATATACTTTCAAACTTTCAAAGTTTAACTCTTATGACCTTAATACAAATATATCAAAAATTTATAAATTCAGGCTCAAAACTAAAAGTTGATTAAAAAGAGATCTGAGAGATCAGAATAAGTCCTATGTTTTTACACTAGGATCTCCTTGATACTTGTACAATTATTAACATGTATAATTAGCCACTAGCTTTACTTCTGAAAATATTAGTAATTACCTTTTTTATCTGAAAATGGGTATTTTACTTATACTGCTGAATTAATCTCAATAAGTTTAGTAATTTATTCGGATTATAAATAAACATTGTAAGAAATCATCCTTTTTCTTGTCTAATATAGAATTAGGACATAATTTGCTCTTATTTACATTCTCACAGTATTTCTATGGATCTTCCAAAATTTAACTTAAAATAATTTTATTATTAGCATAAAATAACAAATTAAGTTTGAGATAATTTTTGGTACTTGCTGATATTTTAAAGAAATCTTGGGATGCCATTAAATCAGAGATGGCAATGACTGCTTTATAACATGTATGAAGGTAACAACTGACATTAGACATATAAAAATGGCAGATTCTAGAAACATGATAATTAGAAAAGGAAGCCAGTAATAGATAATATAGTCAATACTGAAAAACTTTATAATGTACAACATAAATTTAAGTGAAGATCTATTTACAAAGTCAAGTTCAGATTTTTAAAAAAAGTTAGAAGCTGTAAGAGAAGACTACTAAAGTTCCAGTTAGTGATAGAACCAAGTAACAAAATCAGAGGTGAGGCTAATAAATAATGAGACAAGTATTATGAAAACCTAAAAAAAGGTGAAAGACACTGAAGGTGAACATAGTGAAGCAGATAAAAGAGAAAAGTCAACATTCAATCAATGAGTGTTCTACAGATGCTCTATAGACTATGAGTGTAAACATTAGCTTTAGGGGGTACCCCTGAATAAAAAGTCATACACACACATACACATGTACAACATCTTTGTAGAATTCTCTGCTCATCCCTAAACTATGCTAGCTATTTAATAATACTTAAAGGCAAATGCTCTGAATGTCCACACTTCCACACTTCTATTATTAGTCATTACATTTTCCCAGAATGAGATCTCTGATTTAGTATAAATGAACAGCTACCTGAGAACATAAAATTTTCGTATCTATAAGATTATTGCTTACTGTCCATACTTTCCTCCCTTTTTTTCAGCTCCTTGTACTTCTGATTCATTTCACCTATAAGCAATAAAAAAAAACATTAATTTCAAAAACTCTAGATACAGTGCTTAAAATGAAACATCTCTCGTAGGTTCTCTATATGCCGTTAGTCGTTGAATATTCAATATTTTCAATTAGGTGGAATTCTTTCACATTGAATTATGTAGTCTTTTAAAACACCTATATATGAATGTTTGACTATTGGAAAGAACAATCCTCTGACTGAAAAGGACTGAAAGGTTTTCCAATGGTTCTCTATTTCACTTCCAACTTGCAGCTATTCAATACACACATGAACTGGTGACGGGAAACATGAACTCCCAGGAAAGTTCATTTCATCTCTGAATGGCTACAATAGCCAGTAAGATAGCAGGGTTACTTCCCTCAAAGAGCTCGAAGTCTAGATATTTAACAAAACTTACTAAGAGCTATCACATGAAAGTAAATAAAGCCTGCTATAGCAGTACACAACAAGGACAATTAATCTAGTTTGGGGTGTCAGGAAATTTTTCTCTAAAGAAGCAATATTTAAGCTACATTATAAAGGATGAATGAATAGGAGTTACCTAGTCAAAATATAGAAGTTCAAAATCAGAGCATTACAAGTACAGGAATTTGAAAGTGAGGATGAATGTGATAGCACAAGAAACTGAAAGAGTATCACGGTTCAGGAAGAGAATGTGAAGTGAAAAAATGGCACAAAATGGGAGGGGATAGCTCAGTAGTAGAGTGTGTGCTTAGCATGCATGAGGTCCTGGGCTCAATCCCCAGTACTACCATTAAAAAAAAAGCTTTACTGACATGAAAGAAAAATCACAGTTGACTTTTACACCAGAAATCGACACACTGTAAACTGACTCTACTTAAAAAAAAAAAAAAGACAGCACAAAGATGAGGCAGGTTATCAAAAACTTTATAAGCCACATGTTATGAAACTCTGGACTTTCTCCTACAGACAATGGTAAGATTACTGAAGAATTTTAAGCAGAGGAATAAAATGATCAATGTGCATTTCTGAAAAATATTTCTGATCAGGATAATAAAAGAGAACTAAGATTAGAGGCAATAGACTAGTTAGGAGGGTGTCACAGTAATCCAGGTGAAAGATGATGATTGCTTGGTGGCAACTAGGATGTAAGGTAGAGGATTTTTGTTTGAGGCATTTAAGAGCCAGAGTCTACGGATTTTGGTAAGGGTTAGTGAGGGAGAAGTCAAGTATGATTCCCAGGGTTTCCTGGCTTGAGCAATTGAGGACATGGCTGTATTATCTACTGAAAAGAAAAGCATGTTGAGGAAGAAGTTGCTTACAGCAGTTATAGACATGTTGTATTTAATATATGTGAAAGACATAATTAAAATAAAAAAGTCAAAGGCCCATATAAATGGATGAAATCTGACACTTTAGCTGCATAAAGGGACCAGTAGTAGAGGTGGATCATGATTATCTTAGAACAACATGATTTTCAGCGTAACAAAAATTGAGTCTTGGAGGCACAAGGCTGTTTCCCTGGACTAGTGAGATGGCTGCAGTCCTGTGCTCCCAGGGACCCTGGTAGAGAAAGCAGAATAAATTTGTGCTTGCTCCAATCTGTAGTTTCTTCAATCAAGTCAGTTAGTTCTTAGCATTCTAGAGAAACTAGAAAAGCTTACTAAGATGATACCCAGCAAAGATGGAAAGAATAACAGGCTCCTAAAGGGGTTCCAGGTAAGAAGCTGTCATCTAGAAAAACTTTAGGAAGAAGAGTTCAAAGAAAATGGGGGAACTGTCAGTTAGAGTCCAGAGTCTAAAACCCAGTGGTCAGCCTGTGTTCTATATATCCTTCTATAGGGTATATGGTTTTTCCAAATATTGGCTACAGCAGCAGTAAAGTTAGGGAGTAGAGGAACATAGAACCCCTAATTACATGGAAGCATGGGCTTCCACTTGTATACTTGCATGGGTGAGAATTGAGTTACAAGTAAAAAACGGTGATGGCAAAGTCAGAGACCTAGGTCAGCAGACAGCTTTTTTGCTTTCTGGTCTGAAAATATTTTTCCCAAGCTCATTGACGACAGCCCTGATACAGAGAAAATCTTGTCAAAGCCCCTTCAACATTACTGGTAGTAAAAAGCTGAAAGCTACTGTAAAATAAGGACAGTAAAACCCAGAGGTCATGAAATCCCAGCCAGGGACACTCAGAACCAATGGGAAACATATGATTCACCCTGACTAAGGCTTTGGATCCATTAAAAACTTTACTGGACTATTACTCAGTTCAAACGATCAACAATGGTCTCAGAGCATACTGATGTAGTGTGATTAGCTGCAAGGGTGAGGGGAGAGATAATTTTTTACTAATAACAAAGTTTGTATATAACTAAGTTTTAAAAAAACACAATATAGATGAATTAGGATTAGTTCTATAATGATGTTACTACTATTCACTTATCTTATGGCAGTAATTTCTTGGGTGGGAAACAAAGTTAAAGAATATGAGCTTATAGCATACATGATCTGGAATACCCTCATAGAAGAGTGATGTGCATATAAACGTTATATAACATACGTGAAGTAGCAGAAAAACTAGTATCTGCTGAACCCGCCATGGCCTAGGTTTCAAGGAAAATCCTAGTTTCTTGTATGACTGTCTGAGAAGTTGCACTATTGGGAGACTGGTCAGACATTAAGGGATTAAGAGTAAGGTTTGTATCCTAGGCTTTACAGGAATTTAATTACCATCTTATCTTCCCTCTTTTAAACTTAAGAGAATTCCCTGCATAGGCTGTTTCCAGTTCCGCATCTTGCTATTAGACCCCAAGACACTGCAATGAGGTTTCTCCTCCTGCCATTCCAATGAAATTGTTCACAGTAAGATTATCAAATCCAAGGGGCAGTTTCCAGTTATCTTACTCAGCAATATTTGACACTATTGATACATCCTTCCTTCTTTCAATTTTTTTTCCTTACATTTTTTGTTGTTTGGGGGTTGGAGTTTTTCTGGTTTTTCTTACTCTCAGATCATTTCTTCTCTGTCTTCTTGGCTTCTTCATGGCTTTCTTGGCTTTCTCTTGCTTCATTTAAATTCTGGATTCTGTTTACTTGACTTCTAATGCTACATTACATTCAAGGTAACCCCACTCATTCTTTAAGAACTCTCAAATTTGACCTTTTTCCTAATTTTCAGATTGTTTAATGCAATTGCTTACTAGATATATTCATGTGGATATGTTTCAGGACATCCTAATACACAGTATATCCATAATTAAAATCTTCTCCCTCAAAGTCTGCACCCCTCTGTATTCCCTTTTATGTTTGAAAGCACTTCACCATACACTTATCCAAGTCAGAAACCTGGGAGATTCATCCCTCCTGCTCCCCTCAAATTCATGTTCTCAGTTGCCATTAGATTGAGCTGGAAGATGTGTCTGGTCAATGTCTCCAGCTACACAGCTGGTCAGCTGGATTAGATAGGACAGAGCTCCTATATATTTTGGCAGATTCTCAAGCTTTACAAAACCTCCTCCCATACCACTGTTGTTAAAAAGAAAAGAGATCAGGGCCCTAGTGAACTCCTCTATATTGTAATTTCTCAGTTGGTGGATTCATATCTGAGCCTCCCATGAGACGCAATGCACAGATGTGGGCAGTCCTAAAGTAGGGTAAAATATAGGGCTTGTTACCAATTCTATCCTTAGATTTACTATCACAGGAGAGCACAAGATCATAGATGGGGGAAGCTAATCAGCTATCACACTGAAGGTGCAAAGCAGGCCAGCAAAAGGGCCTAACGTAGAAAAATTAAAAATGAGGAGACCAAAAGAAAGGGAAAAGGACACACTTGTAAAATAATTGTAACTTTAGAGCTATCCTCAAGCTCTGAGTGTCTGATATGATCATAGTTCTACATAACTTATTTCTTCCAAATTTATTGATGACTATATGCTGGATACTATGATAGGTGCTAGGGATATCAAAATAAACAAGGCAGTTACCACTATATCCCAGAAGGGCTTCTAGTCTATTAGGTGCACAAAAGCAAAAGTTACAATGCAACATAAGTACTGAAACTGAGTTATATATAAAGTACTATGGTAACTAGATGGGTGAAGAGTTCAGGAGGTTTTTACATAGAAAGCATCATATCAGCAAGGCACTTTAATAGGTAATGTAGAAATTCTAGAGATAAATAAGGTATTTTTCTTCAAGAAATTTATACTCTAGTAAGACAAGTATCCCAACTTTTCCACTATAAATTTAGGCCTTTTTTCCCCTCACAGTGAGGAAAGAAGAAATGAGTATGGATTGTTGTTACAAAAGATTTGGGATAGTATAGAAAGGACACCATTGCTTTTTGATACTCTCTGCTATAGCCAGCTAGTGAAGTAAGGGAGATACGCTCTTTTTGCAGCACTAAAGGGCTGAGCACCACCACAACCACCTTTGTCCTCACTGTCAATAAGGTCATCTGACTCTTCTGCCTCTCTATCATAAAATGTTCTCTTGAATCAGGGCTTACAGAGCAATCGCAATTTTTCTACTCTGAGAAGCAGTTCTGAACCCTGGAGAAGATCTGATCACCATTTTTCAGAAAGGCAACTACCCCAATCTTCTCTCCTGATCAGTATACAAGGTATGTGCTAGTGACTCTCCTGGCCTCAAGGCTCCCAATTCAGCAGGCCTACTGATTTTAGAGGTGAAAGGGCAGCAGAAAGCAAATCAAATTAGAGAGGTGGAACAAGAATAAACCTTGAAGCACTTGCGCACATCCAGATTCTTTCTTTTCTAGCACTTGGGGTCCTTCTGAGTCAAGCTAAATCTCCTGGTTCCTTCAAGTGTTCATTCTGTGGCATGGTTTCAGTCTCTTTACCATTCTGTTCATTTCACTCTCATTGAGTTCCAGTTTTTCTTTATTCCTTTTAAAGTATGATGCCAAGAAACGTAGGATTCCAAGCAGACTATCACTTCCCATAGTCTCTATATTCATGTTTTGGTAATGCAGTCTAGGATTCCAGCTGTTGTGATTTTATCACATGAATTC